GTACAAAACATTCAAAAGAAAGATACTGAAGTCCCTGCTCCCTCGTCTGAGTAAGCCATTTCCTCCTCTATATAATGGGAAATCTCTGCCTTTTCTACCTAAATTGTAAGATTGTCTCATGAAGTATTTTGCAAACTGAACATGTAATCATAATAAATGCTGGCCTTTCTACTTCTACTTTTGTTCTCAATAAAGTTTAGCTCTTTTCAAGCCAATTAAAATCTTAGGCTTGATGGAAATTTTCCTTTATGTAGGCAGTGACTCATTCTAAAAATTCCTATGTAAATCAAAATTACTTAATGAATATAATTACTTACTTATTGCTAAAGGGGAAAAGGGACCTTTACAGTGGAAAAATCTGGAAGATGCCACCAGCTGGGGACATCACCAGTACAATAATGGGATAAGCTGATATCATGCACCTCTTGATGTGATGGACTGAGACACAATATCTCTTGTATAGTATTCCTACCAAAAATCTAACCATGAAAAACAAGCAGATAAACATATTCCATAAAACAAATAAACTGGACTATGCAAAAATGTCAGTATCATCAAAAACAAACAAACAAAAAGAGCTGAAGAACTGTTACAGGTTTAAAGAGACATAACAACTAAATACAATGTGTGACCTTGAAATAAAAAAAAAAAAAATTGTTAGCAATAATTGGGATAATTGGCAAAATTTTAGTAGATAGTATACATAATACTATTGTAGCAATGCTAAATATCCTGATTTTGATAATTGTGTTTTGGTTAGAGAATGCCCTTATTCTTCAGAGATACACACCGGAGTATTCAGGGATGAAGGGGCTTGATGTCTGTAATTTATTAATACTTTCAATGGGCTCACCAAAAAGTATAAATAATATAAAAATACTACATATTTATATATGGGCTAACAGTCTTAATTTGTAGAAGACACTGTATTGGAATAAAATGTAGTAAAAAGTCAAATAGGAAAATGTCAGATGAAAGAAAAAAATTTTTTGCACATGATGGTACTAATTTTCCACAAATATGCCAGGAACCTGAGAAATCTAAATACAAGTGAGATGTAAAAGCAACAATCAAAGCTGCTGAATATCAGAAGAATTCTGACAGCATGCTGGAGGCTCCAATTCCTGTTTTGAATCTAATATATCCCCAGGGGTATATAAGGTCCCCATGGCCATATCGAAGACACCTCTTAGGTTAGCAGGTCAGCTCAACACAATTCTCCCGTCTCTGGCCACTGCTGCCGACACACACGACACCCGGTGGTCCCCAAGGCCAGGTCCAGAGGTGGACCCTCGCCCGGGGCTGAGCCAGCCAGCACTTGCGTGCGTGTGCGCGTGTGCGTGTCTGCCCGGAAGTCCCCAGCGCCTAAGTGACTCCTGGGGGTGAATGAGCAAATGGATCCAGCGACAAGGGAATTATTGTTTCTGGAATAGTTCGCAACAAAAAGGCCAGCGACTTCACCCGGGGCTGGCATTAATCCTACCACGTTAGATTTTCAAGGAATTGCTCTGCATCGCGTCTCAGTAGCTAAGCAGAGACAGTTAAAAGACGGCATCATTTGCTCCAGAGAGGAACTACAGGAGCCAGCCGACCTTTCCAATTCAGCCAGCTTCAGCGGTGAGCGGCGCAGCGTGGCACAACCCAGCTTTCACACGCACTGCACAGACGCGGGTCCTAACCGTCGCTTCCCCAAATCAGCGCGCTTGGCAGGCCCGTCCACTGCCCAGGGGAGACACATCCGCGCTGGTGCTCCCCACGCGTGCGGGAGGAAAGGGGTGCGCGCGCGGGCGCCTCTGCGCCTCCCGGGGTGGTGCGTCCCCAGCCCCTGTCCCGCGGCCGCAGCCGGGACGTACCTGGCGCACCGGCGACGTGGCGCCCAGCGCGGCGTCGCTGGTCCCGTCCAGGCGCCTGGAGGCGGAGAGGCGGCCGCGGCTCATAGCGGCCGGAGCCCCGCGGGGCGCTGGGACCGGCCGGCCCCGAGGTTGGCCGCGGCGCGGGGAGCCGGCGGGCGCGTCGCCTCGGGCAACAGGTAAACACCGCGGGGAGGCGGCGGCGCCCGCTGCGCACGGCCGCCTTCGGCCTCGGGGACGCGCCCCCGGGCACGGGACAGACTCCTGGACGAGGGGCAGAGACCCAGCTGGAGACCCTGCCAAAGCGATTCGGGTCCGCGGGGATGGGGGTCAGCCTTCCCGCTGGGACTCCACCACCGTAAGCACAATTCCAGGCCTCGTCCTTAGGTAAGGGGCAAGTGACAGTGAGTGGGCAGTGTTAACGGTGCTGGCCTTCGCGAGGTAAAGGAGCGTTCACAACGGTGAATGGAGCATTTATTTAGCACCCACTGTGTGCAGATGCGGCTGTGAGCCCCAGGCTGTCTTTGTAGCTGTGCATCCTATGCGGTTGCACAGGCCCAGGTGCTGCGCTTGGTTTAACACTCTGCTGTCCCAGTCTTGAAATTCTCAGTCGCTTTTCAACAGAGCGTCCTGCATTGTCATTTTGCACTGGGCGCCACAAATTAGGTGGCCTGTCCTGGTGCATATTCTTTCCTTTAACCTTCTCAACAATCCTGCAAGAAAACACAAGTGATAGTATAATACTAGTGTTAGTAACAGCCACGGCTTCTCATGAAAGGTGTGTGTCTTACCTGAGCTGTTCTAGGTGCTTCCCAGGCATGATCTCCTTAAATAAAACAAGATTATGCAGTGGATATTAGAATAATCTATTTGTAAGATAAGGAAATAGTTACGGAGAAATGAAATAAATTGCCCAAGATACACAGCTGGGAAGTGGTAGAGTGACAGTCAGACCCCAGACTATAAAACTAAAGCACAGAGGTGAGTAACCTGCCTAAAGTCCCACAATTTTTAGCAAAACCTGAAAATGGAACCTGCGATCACTTCACGTTAAAGCCCTTGGTGGCCCCATGTGCCTTTGGAAACTTACAGAAAATCAGAGCTGTGGCAGCTCTCCTCATATTCCATCCGATCATCCTACCGGAATCCATATCGTCTCTGAGGACTTCTTGGTCTTGACAATGGCTTTTGATCTAACAGTGACATTGCCATGTATCCAATCCAGAATCACCTCAACATTTTCACCTGAAGAAACATTTTTTAAAAAGCTCTTTAAAAAGTATAATTCGTGGTAAGTATATTTTCAAGTTGCAGCCTTTCCTCGCAGTAGAATCATTACAGACTTGTTGGATTTTTCAACAAACTAACACTTGCAGAGGAAACACAATATTAATCAAAATTCAAGGCACTTGGAAAAGCACCAACCTGAGAAAGTCCCCTTTCTATTAACTTTAATTCAATTGTTTCAGAAGTCCATGTTATAAAGTCTAATTCTGGTTACTTTGGTCATCCTGTAACTCTTCTTTATGAGAACAAAAGATAATGAATTTGCTCAGTCTTTAAAAATCTTTGCGAAACAGATTTTTCTGTATGGAAAAGCAATGGACTTCTGTGGTAAGCAAAGGCAGAAAAAGTGCTAGGCTCACCCCTACCCAGATGCGTTGGAGGTTTTTGGGATGTCAAGACATGAGCCAAGTGACTCTTCAAGGCAGCATCTGATGACGGGATGTGATGATGTCAAGGGGGTGAGTAGGAGGACTCCCAGGTTGGACCCTGGAGGGCATGACAGTTTGGAGGAACTGGGTCTGTAGTGGGGGTAAGGGGTCACTCCAGGTCTGATAAGAGTTTAAGCATAGGAGGGAAGTGAAAGGGCACAAAGCGTGTTCCAGTCCAGACTTCTCACAAAACTCCGTGTGTGGGCAGTACTTTAGAGTCTGCAATACATCAGTCCAGACTTCTGTTTTCCTTTACAGTGACAACAGACAGGAAGCTACTAGCTGTGTGAGCCTTGTACACATCATCTGACACTATCTCCAGAGGAAATGGAAGTGGTGATGGTGAAGAGGGGAAAGATTTGGAGGTGGAATTGACAGTCCGAGCTTGCCAGCCGGGCTGAAAGCGTGGTGAGGCCGGATCAGGCAGCAACCAGACAAAGCAGAGAGAGGAGACAGAGTTTAGTTTGGGACAAATTTAGTCTGAGGGGCCCATAGGAGAAGACAAACAGAAAGTCCAGGGCACATCCGGTTTAAACCAGAATATCCAGATTACTCTGATATAATGTTAAATTTTATCCTGAAACTTCTTAATAATCCCAGTATGCTGGAATATATATGAAATAAACACAATACCAGAGACAATAAAAATGCCTGAGAAGTAGCTCTTCAGGGCAATGAAGAGCTCTATCTGTTCTAACTGCAGAATAGAGCTTGTATTTTACGGTTTTCTTGTGGTGTCATAAGTTTATGACTTTGGTTTCCTCCTTTTTGTTTGTTTTACAAATGTACGTGCTTGTCATAGGAAAATTTGTAATATGATAACAACTTTTGATGCTTTTGAGTTATGTTTAGAAGCTTGTCACTGAAACCACTTCTGTTACTTTCAGTTGTCCAAAGACTGATGAAAAGAGTAGGTTTGATTTTAATGGTTTCCTAGGCAACTTGCTATGGTCTGAATGCTGATGTCCCTCCACACACACACAAATTCACACATTGGAACCTAATACCCAATGTGATAGTATTAAGAGGTGGGCCCTTAATCATTTGGAAAGTGATTAAATCATGAGGGCTCCACACTCCTGAGTGAGATCAGTGGCCTTATAAAAGTGGCTCAAATTTGTTAAAGGTACAGAATTACAGCTAGATAGGAGGACTAAGTTCTAGTGTTCTTTACCACTATAGGATGACTATAGTTCACAATAATGTATTATATAGTTTCAAACAGCTAGGAGGATATTGAATGTTCCCAACACAAATGGTAAATGTTTGAGATCATGGATATGCCAGTTACCCTGATCTGATCATTTTACATCATAGGTATTGAAACACCACTGTGTACTCCATAAATAGGTACAATTATCATATGTCAATTGAAAATAAAATAAAATTTTAAAAATGTTTAATGAAAAAATATTTTTAAAAGCAAAATTTTTTCTAAAAGTGACATATCTATGTATTTATATTGAATAAATATTTTTGAAACTTAAAAAAAAAGAGGCTCAAGTGAGGTCCCCTGCCCTTTCTACCCTGGCAGGATGCAGCAAGAAGGTGACATCCATCTATAAGGGACAGGCCCTCACCAGACACCGGGTCCGCTGACACACTGGTCTTGGACTTCCTAGCCTCCAGAACTGTGAGAAATAAATTTCTATTGTTTACTACTTAGCCAGGTCTAAGGTATTTTGCTATGGCAGCCTGAATGGTCTAATACTTCACTGAATGAAATGTTGCCAAAGGCTGCAAACAACTACTTTATTTATCTAACAGAAAATTACTTGCTGAAATATGGACCACTGAAATCTTATACTGCTATCACAGTGAGTAACAGCATTTAAAGGTCTTTAAAAACAATCTCAGTCCTTTCCTAGCCTTATTTTAGTTGTTTGCTGAATCCCTACTTTATCTCTCTAATAAATGAGCCCTTTTTTAGCAGTGATGTTAACGTTATCAATTCATCCTAAAACAGAGCCCCATGCCTTATTTGTTCTACTGTGACATACAGCTGTTTGTAAGACAATTTATCAATGTCATGTCCAAAGATTTTCGTAAATTTTCACTTCATTTATTTTTAAGGTCAATTTTCTTTCTTTTCCCCATACATATGACCATTTCCAATATATTTTTTCACCTAAAATAAATGTGATCCATTTTATGACTTTACAATAGGCTCAGAGCTTAGAGAACCACGGAGAGCGCACTTTGTGAAAAATAACCAACTGGATGGCTCTGTTTCATTGTTAAGGTAAATCACGATTGTTCTTTTAAAAAGCAAAATCCAAGCTGTGCATGGGGGTGTATGCCCGTAATCCCAACTACTTGGGAGGCTGAGACGGGAGAATTGCTTAAGCCCTGGAGTTGAGTACAAACTGGGCAACATACCAAGACTCCATCTCTTAAAAAAATTAAAATAAATAAACATTAAATAAATAAAATTGAAGTTTTGAATTTTTTAAAATAAACAAAATCTTTTTTATCAAAAATATAAAGTATAGCCAGGTATAGTGGCGCATGCCTGTAGTCCCAGCTACTCAAAAGGCTGAGGCAGGAGGATGGCTTGAGCCCAGGAGTTCAAGGCTGCAGTGAGCTATGATTGGGTGACAGAGTGAGACCCTGTCTCTAAAAAAAAAAACAAAAAAAGTAAAGTACATTTCAAGATATTTTAGCTGGGTAAATATAAGTTTCTAAAAAACATTCAAAAGTGCACATTTTCTAGATCTATATGATTTTTATTTGACTATAGATTCAATACTTATTAACTCAAATTTAATTGATATTTCCTCAACTAGTCTAAAAGATTTGTTATAGATAATACCACCACCATCCCCGACCTTGACTGAAGTGATCTTTAAGTTGTAAAATCGCAAGTTTAGAATAGTTTAATATTTCAGGGAAAATTTGGAGGGATAAATTGGACAAACAGTGTTAATATTTTTCTAATCTAAGGAGAGAGAGCCCTTTCTGGCAAAAAACCAGGAGAGAACCACCTCACCTCGTGCCGGGAGAACCACCTCACCAGGTGTCTCTGTGTAGGAAAAGTGTCAGCCAACCAGGAGGATTATGGGAAATGTGGGGTGAAGAGCTGTAAGGGGTTTCTTGGACTCCTCTGTCCTCTGAATCATCTCACAGCTAATTAATTCTAAAGTCTTTTCTCTGCGGGGCTCCCCTAGAAGAGCTGGAGTTTGGATTTCTAAGAAAGTGGTTTATCGAGCCGAGCTCTCTCACGACAGGGAGACGGGGGCAGCAGGCTAGGGCAGGGCGACAAGCTACTCGGGCATGTGGCCAAACCTCCTCCTCTTGCTATTACTGGCTTAGAGTAGGTTTTAGGAATTTTTCTCTTTTTAAATATGGGCTTTTACTGCAGTCTACTTCTAATCCATTTTCGAAACAACACAATAATTATTCTTCTAAAATCCAAATCTGATCAGGTTATTCCCTTGTTCTAAAACTTTTGAAGAAACCCCACTGTTTATAGGAAAATAAGAGTCTTAGCACTTGGGTACTTATCATATGCCTCTTTTTTAAAAAAAAATAATTTGCATAAGTTATTATTTCTGGTGCTAGTAACGCCTCTGGATTGGGTATTATTATCATTTTGTTGCAGATACGAAAGCTAAAGCTCAGAGAAGGAAATTGCTCATGTTCATGCCCCTTAAATGGCAGTACAGGTATTTTAAGTGAGATCTCTTGCCTCCAAATTCTCTACATTTTTTCAACTATAGAAGTAAAGTGTCTTATTCTAAAAAGCTAAATATATACTAGTTTCTTTGACTTATAAAAGAAGAATAAATTGGGTAATTGAATAAAACCTAAAATGACTTGGGCTTCTTTTTTTTTTTTTTTTTTTTTGAGACAGAGTCTCCCTTTGTTGTCCAGGCTAGAGTGAGTGCCGTGGAGTCAGCCTCGCTCACAGCAACCTCAAACTCCTGGGCTCAAGCGATCCTTCTGTCTCAGCCTCCCAAGTAGCTGGGACTACAGGCATGCACCACCATGCCCGGCTAATTTTTTTTATATACATATCAGTTGGCCAATTAATTTCTTTCTATTTATAGTAGAGACGGGGTCTCGCTCTTGCTCAGGCTGGTTTCGAACTCCTGACCTTGAGCAATCCGCCCGCCTCGGCCTCCCAGAGAGCTAGGATTACAGGCGTGAGCCACCGCGCCCGGCCTGGGCTTCTAAATAAAGAACTGGTTTTCTGATGTACTGATTAGTGCATATCTTTAAATTTTAAAAATATAGTCAATCCTTATTATTTGCAGGTTCACCTACTCACTGAAATTTATTTGTTGCCCCAAAACCAATACTTACAAAGCTACCATAGTCATTCATAGACATGTGCAGACTGGGGGAATTTGAGGCACATTTGAGTACACATCCCCAGCTGAGTACTGTAAACAAGTATCCTTTTTACAATCTATTTAGTGCTACCTTTTTGTTTTTGTGTTGGTTTTTTGTTTGGGTTTTTTTTTTTTTTTTTTTTGCATTTTTGTGCTTATTGTTAGTCATTTCTCTGTTTAAATGGTCCCCAAGCATAGTGCTGAAGTGCTGTCTACTGTTCCTAAGGGCAATCAGGCTGTGTTGTCCCTTACAGAGAAAGTACATGTGTTAGATAACTTTCATTCAAGCATGAGTTATAGTGCTGTTGGCTGTGAGTTCAGTGTTAATGAATCAAGAATATATATTAAATAAAACAAAAACAAAATAAAAAATATTAAATATAGGCAGATATTTGAACATCTTATCTTCTTTCTGTAAACCATGGATGATAATCATGGCTACCTTACAGGAGAAGTAAATTCGTTCAGGCAATGCTCTTAGGACAGTGCCAAGGACAGAAGTAAGTTCTCAATAAGTGTCATCAATTATTAAAATTATATTCTTATTTTAATTATTACAACACTTTATACCTCTTTCAAGCCAAAGTGTAATAGTGTGACAGTTATTTTTGCACATGTATTATTACCCCTTAAAGGACACAGTTTCTTGGGATTATTTATCTTTATGTCCTTTATAAAGTCTAACCTAGCACTTTTGGCACAACAGACCTTCAATAAACATTTGATAAATAAATAAATATTCTAAAAAAAATATTAAATATATATTTCAAAAACATATATTTTAAAATATATATTAAAAAAACAAAAACAAAAATAAAACAAAAAATGTTTAAACAAAAACCCATAAAACATGGTTATATATTAATGAGTTGATGAAAATTTTGTGACCAGAGGCTCATAGAAACCTAACCCTGTACTTCCCCTAGGAGCAGTGGTTCAGTATTCACTAATTCAGCGTTCATAGCAACTTTATAGAACATAACTACTATGAATAACAAGAACTTACTGCATTCTACTGGACTTAGTTGCTGGTCAAATTTGACATTCACATTGCAGTTCATATAATCTGCTGTTTGTTTATTGTACAGAATGGTATCTTTGAGTTCCCAATTTAAATCTAAAGGTATTTTCATTATGACAACAATTGCTATGAAATAACTAATATTTAATAATGCAATAATTAACTGTGATAAACTAAGGAAACCTTCTGCCAATTTGGGTACATGACCATGTAATGTAAATATTTTTAAATTATATATTCTTGTTAAAAATTATCTACCTGAAGTAAATTAGGTTTTCCAAAACACTCTGTAGGTACAAAGTTTAGAAATTTATCACATAACAGGCTGAACATAGTAGTTCACGCCCATAATCCTAGCACTTTGGGAAGCCAAGAAGGGAAGATCGCTTGAGGCTGGGAGTTCCAGACCAACCTGAGCAACACAGCAAGACTCAGTCTCTACAAAAACATTTAAAATTAGCCAAGCATGGTGGTGCAAACCTTTAGTCCCATAGGCTGAGGCAGGAGAATCACTTGAGCCCAGGAGATTGAAGCTGTAGTGAGCTATTACATGATGATGCCACTGCACTCTAACTCAGGCAACAGAGTTAGACTCTGTCTCAAAAAATTAAAAATAAAAAAGAGGAAGTTTATCACATATAACAAAACGATGAAAAAAATCTGTGAATTCTCGTTATTTTTTCTGCCTCACAGAAAATATTTTCTGTCAATATTCTAAACTCTTTGAGAATGAAAAAATGAAGCAAAGAATGAGTCAAAGATTTGCAGTATAATTTATCATGGATCCTAAAAAGCAGGCCAAATATTACTTCAAAATATAACTTTTAAATGTATCTGTTCTAAATTAATTTGGTATGATTTTAAATAAAATTAATGTTGTCAGCAAAAAGATGCAGGAATCAAAAATTGTCCATAATATCCCTGAAATCATCTAGGAGATTATGAAATTCTTTGAAGAGAAATGAAGCACTGATGCTTACAAAAAAATATTTTGGGGATGAGGAAGAGGAGACCAGATTAGATGAGGAAGAAGAGACGAGACCGGACAAGGAAAGGAGACCGGATGTGGAAAAGGAAACCAGACCAAAAAAGGAGACAAGACTGGACGAGGAATAGGAGACAAAACCAGAAGAGGAGACGAGACCAGACCAGGAAGAGGAGACCAGACCAAACAAGGAAGAAGAGACTAGACGGGCCGAGGAGACGAGACCAGATGAGGAAGAGGAGACTAGATGGGACGAGGAAGAGAGTGCTGAGTTCTTAATGTGCAATACCTCATTCAGACCTCATGAGCTATCCTGTAAGAAAGGTATTGTTCTTTACCTTGTTTATAGAAGAGGAAACTATGGCTCGGAGGAGTTATATTATCTGCCCAGGGTAACACCTTAACTCATGAAACTGAGAATCAAAACCAGGCCTGAATCCAGAGTCTCTGCTCTTAGCCATTATGCAAGTCAGATACCTTCTTTCTGCCTATATGGTTGTTCCCACAGCTTCCTCCAAAGGTGTCCTCAGCCTGGCCCTGGGGCTGAGCCACAGCTGCTGTCCTGGTGATTTCCAACCCCAGAGTTTATTTTTATTGTGGCTGGAAGGCAGAAATTGGGCTTCTTGTGCCGTTCCATCTCTGGACACAAGAGGGTGAACTCTCAGCAGGCAGGTCTTGCACTAGGCCTCACTTGCCCCATTGGCAACATGGGAAGAATAATCCTACTCCTGGTGCCTGCCAAAATTACTCTTTTTTGAGATCATATATGGAAGAGATCTGCATAAAGGATTAGCACTTATTAGATTATGTATAGATCTAGCCCCCAACCCAAGTTCCAGACTTAATTCCCAAAAGTTCCCAGCAAACTTGGAAAACCTCCAAGGGATCCTCACCTCCCTGCCGTTGTTGTTCACGTCTTTCCACGTATCTGAAAGGCCTCCTTATCCTCATCTACCATAATCCAACGTATCCAAAAGACCTAGTTAATAGGCTTCCTCCTCGAAGGTGTTTGTGGACAGCTGTGCTTGAAGTGATCCATTTCTCCTACCTAATATTTGGCTGTAAGCACTTAAGATAGGCATCACACCTAGCCTTACCGTATAATTACTGATGTATAGGACATCTCCTCTATGGAGGACACATGTTGGTTTTAGCTTGCCTAGTAGCTTCTCCCCCTTTTAGTAACAGCAACTTGATTTTCCTCTGGTGAACAACCTTCCCTCACTTTTAATCCATAAGATTTGGATGGGGTCAACCCCACTTCCAAATCCAGAAGTAGGCATGTGACATAGGCCTATTCAGAGTTACTTTAATGGGTTCAATGAAGGGCAGGTAGCTCAATTAAAAGCATTGAGAATTACTCCTAGAACTTTTGCTAGGAGTTAAAAAAAAAAAAAAAACACCTCTATTTTTGCTACAATTGGATGTAAACATGAAGCTGTGAGGGGCTTTCACATGGGGAAAAAAATTCCTGAGGATGAAGCCACCCAAGAGCAGGTTATAGAAAGAGACCTAATCTAGAGGATAATATTGTTGGAAAACCTTGAATCTTATTTTCAGCTCTTCCTGAAACTATTAATAGAAGTAACCTTCCTAGGACAAATAAATTCTATCCCCTGCCCATATTCTTTTTTTCCTTTTAAGCTAGTTTGTGTTGGGTTTCTATAACATAGAATTGAAAGATAGGAACACATCCTCAATTTGTTTATGAACTTTAAGGGGCCAAAGGCCTGACCTTTTTAACTTTACATCTCTTAGCATGGTACCTGGTAAGACAGAGGGTCCTTGAGGTGTGATGATTGATTCCCTTCAATCTCATTTTCCCTGAGCACCTACAATGAGCTGAGCTAAGCACTGGAACTACAAGGCATAATCAGACATAGTCCTTGCCCTCGAGGAGTTCTGAATTTAGTACAAGGAGGAGGTATGAAAATGAATACTTTATAATATAACTTGGGCTATAATAGAAATCTGAGCAAATTTTTGTGGGATTCCAGAGGGTTGGAGGTTTGGGGAGATGAGATGTGGGAAGGCTCCTCAGAGGAGGTGACATCTGAGTCAAGTTCTTAAAGAACGAATAGAAGTTCCTAGGCAGAGAAGTGGGCATGGGGCAAAGGGTGTCCCAGGGATGAGATATTCCAGGTGGAGAGAACAAGATTATATATTAATAATTATAAAATTAATAATAATATCACCATCTCCTACTCTTCCTGTGGCCTCTTCATAAGCTTCTTCCTCTTTCTCTTCCTCTGCCTCATCTATCAGTAGACTCGTCACAGTGGTTAAGAGCACAGGCTCTGAGCTCTGAAAGATTTGGTTCTGCCAGATGGGGTGCCTCATGCCTATAATCCCAGTGACTCAGGAGGCTAAGGTGGGAGGATCACTTGAGCCCCGGAGTTTAAGACCAGCCTGAGCAACATGGTCAGACCCCATCTCTACAAAAATAGAAAACTTATCCAGGTGTGATGGTGCATGCCTGTAGTCCCAGCTACTTGGGAAGCTGAGGCAGGAGGATTATGTAAGCCCCAGAGTTGGAGAATGCAGTGAGCTGTGATGATGCCACTGCATTCTAGTCTGGGCAACATAGTGAGACTTTGTCTCAAACAAGCAAACAAACAAAAAGATTTGGTTCTGCCTCTTACTAGACACATGACCTTGAGCAAAATCACTTACATTTTACAAATAAGGACAATAGTGTATTTGCCTTGAAAGATTGTCAAGAACATTAAACACAATTACAAATATAAAGAATATGCCTGTCACAAGGTAATTCTCAAGAAATGTTGGCCACTATTATTTTTATTGTCATAAAATCAAGAACCTTTAAACACCAAGGAATAAGAAACTAAACTCGAATTGGCATAAACAGTAAGGAGATTCTTCATTGCACATAACGGGAGTCTTGAAGTGCAGCAGGCTCCAGGCAGGAAATAATCAGGGCTCTGACTCCGTTTCTCTGCTCCCAGCTCTGCCCTCTTCTTTGTACTGGCTCTGTCTTCAGGCTTCCTTCCTTGTCCAGAGAAGCCTGTGTCACCAAGTCCTATGTGATGGTGACAACATTCTTCCTTGTTCACATCCATCCTGGACAGAAGAAAAACCTCTCCTCCAAACAGAAATATAAATCTGCTTAGGCCAGCTTAGCTTATGTGCCTACTCCTGGACCAGTGACAGGAAGTGAGGTTGGGTGGCCACTATTGGCTTAGACTAATTGGGATCCACCCGTATGGTTAGAGATGGATTCCAGCGGTCTCCTGATCACATGGCTACATTATGGCAAGGGAGGAAGGGTTCTGCTAGAGAGAAGGAAGGAATAACTGGATGTTGGATGGCTTCCTGCACTATACCAGGCACCTGGTGGCTCCTACCTGAAGTCCCAGCTACTCAGCTACCCTGGAGTCTGAGGTGTGAGGATTGCTTAAGGCCAGGAGTTTGAGACAAGCCTGGACAATATAGTGAGACCCTATATCTTTTTAAAAATATTATCAGCCGGGCTTGATGGCTCATACCTGTAATCCTAGCACTCTGGGAGGCTGAGGTGGGAAGATAGTTTGAGCTCAGGAGTTCGAGACCAGCCCAAGCAAGAGCAAGACTCCATCTCTAATAAAAATAGAATAAAATTAGCAGGTCATCATGGTGCCTGCCTGTAGTCCCAGTTACTTGGGAGGCTGAGGCAGGAGGATCGTTTGAGCCCAGGAGTTTGAGGTTGCAGTAAGCTATGATGCTGTCACTGGACACTACCTAGGGCGACAGAGTGAGACTTTGTCTCAAAAAAAAAAAAAAAAATTATGCAGTACACTTCTCAAGTCTTAGATCTAATATCAGGATGGAAACGTGGAGGATGAAGGGCAGGGCAGGTAAATAATTAGGCAGAGGATGATGTTTTTATTAAACAGCAAAAGGACAAGATTTGACATGATGCAGCTTTTCTATCTAATTTGAGACAATCTCTTGTGTTTGATAAAATATGTTTTTGAACCAGATATGTTATTAAATAAATAAATAATTAAATAAATAAAATATGTTATTAAACCAGAAGCCACATTGTTCAATCTCAAGGTTATGTTTCTATAAAAGAAATACACACGAGCCACAAAAAGCAATGCCAACATGGTTCAAACCTTTACTTGCATTTTAAGAAACCCCCATGGTAGATTGAAAATCAGAATTCTACTTATTAAAATTCCCTCTCCCACCCATTTTTCTAACACAGCTCTCTCTGCCCAAACCCCCACTAAGCCTTATTCCAGAACATCTCCTGCCATGAAACCTTACTTTTTCCCTCTCTTCCTCCCTACTCTCTCCTTTTTTTACTAGGTTAGGAGTGGAGAAGACTTTGAACGCCTCTACACATGCGTGTCATTACCTAGATAAAGTGCTAATGTAATGTCAGAAACTTATGTTAGGCAATAAGTGATACCTTGAAATTATAAAAAATGAATAAACCAGAGGAGAACAAAACCCAGGAAAACAATGATAAGAACATAGTACCACCACCTCCAAATACCTCTGTTAAGATTTTGATACATATATTTCTAAGTTTTTCTCTATGTATAGACATCTCTTTTTTTCACATTTCTAAGGCAAAAAAAAAAAGCAGGCTCATACCATAAATTTTTTTTCCAGGAGAAACAACAGTGTTCTATTTCAGTCAACAACTATTTTACAGAGCAGTTTAAAAGAGTCAAATATTTGAACTATAATAAAATGCAACCCTGTGAATGGATAACCAAATTGTGGCATATCCACATAATGGAATACAAAACTGGGATTCTAGTCATAAAATGGAATGAAGTTCTGATCCATGCTGGAACATGGATGAACCTAGAAAACATCTCAACATATCCAGCGAAAGAAGCCACCCACAAAAAAACCACACATCGTACGACTCTATTTATATGAAATACCCAGAAGAAGGCAAATCCACAGAAACAGAAAGTGGATCCGCAGTTGGGGCCAGGAGGAGGGAGAATGGGAAATGACTGCTTAATAGGTGTGAGGTTTCCCTTTGGGTTAATGAAAATGTTCTGGAACTAAATAGTGGTGATTTTTGCACAACATTGTGAATGTGCTAAATGTCTCTAATGGTAGATTTTATGTGTATTTTGCCACAATAAAAAATTAATTTTTAAAAGAAGAAACCTTGCCCTGGCACTGGAGAGAAAAAGGCCCTGGCTGTAACGACAAGGACTTTGATCTCATGAGGGCTTTACACGAGCTTTTCTCCACCTTGGCTGCACACTAGAATCCCGCGGGCAGCTTTAACATTTTTTAAAAAAATTCTGAGGTAAGGCCTGGCGCGGTGGCTCACGCCTGTAATCCTAGCT